CAGTTGATTGGTTTCTTGTCGGCTTGCTGATCCGCAGGGAATCACGCTCGGGAATCCTGATCCTCGCCTCCCGCGGGATCACGCGATTATTAATTCCACCGACACCGACGCCCTCTCTCTCTCTCTCTCTCTCTCTCTCTCACTCTCTTTATCTCTTTTCACCTCGTCCAACCATATTTTGACAGAAATTCCATGAGTATGCAAGATTTTAAATCACTGTTGCCGGAATTCCCATCGTTACAAAATCCAGCTTCACCTGCTGTGTAGATCCCTAAAATATAATATTTGTTTTCTGTACCTCTTAACAGTTTTTTCACGTTGAATATCCGCGAAAAATTCAAATGCGCGAATGCGGAGGTATTTTTGGACAAAAGCGTCGATTGTTAAACCAATTATGTTCTATTGGCATTTAGATCAAAACACATACTGTGGCGGAACTTTACTATTGATCTCGGTCGTAAATCTTGGAAAATGTCTTAATTGCTCTACATGAAGGCACACGGAAGATGGCAGTCAAGGGGTCGTTGTGTTGGTCAATTTCGGTGACGTTGCGACCGACGGCGTCGACTTGACTTTATCCGGCATGATCAACATGGACTCCAACTGCGTCGTTGTCACAAGCAGTGGGGAACTTACGGAACCCGGCACGAGTGTTAGCTGCTCTTACGTACCCGTCGGTCCTCGGCAAGGGGTCGTTGTCAGCTTCTCACTCTGAATCTGCTAGTACATGTGTGGTTTTTTTGTGCTCAATGGTTTCCAGGAATAAAGCACGATTTGGATTTGTTGGAGATGGGTTCAGTCTAATTCCCAAACCTCGCAAATTCGCCATACATTCCGTTTTTTTGATAATCCGCACTGTTGCTGTATTCGAAAAGCTCTATATAACTAACACAAGTTTTTACTGGTTCGTATTTTGAAGCTTCTTGGTGATTTTTTTTCTTTCAGTGGTGCATTTGAATCTGACGAATAACTGCGGAAGACAAATACTGAGTTCAAATGTATCTATAGATCAAATGAACACCTGTTATATCCCTTTCTTATAAACTTGGAAATAAGTAACCGAAGGTTTTGGTGACTTTTTTTTCGTTCATAAGAAATGAAATGTTCCGACGGACTTTCCTGGGGAATCGCATAATGAATGAGATTCTGGAAAGAATCAAGTTTGTAAATCAAAGACCAGTTGTATTTGCAACCATTCGGGTCATGTGGGAACTGAAACCCTGTTATATCCGTGTTCTGGTGGTGAAACGAAATTTAATTCAATGGTCTGATCTGTGGTCGGTGAACCACCAGTGGTCTGTAGAAGTTTTTTGCCTGTCTGTAAGATGTATTCTTCAGCATAAGGATATTAATGCAATCTGTTACATTTATCTGGAATTTTGGAGAGCAAATTGCAGATGAAATGGATACTACTTTTTATTTTCAGTCGATGAGAGGATTATTGTGAAATCTGTTTTAAACTGAACGAGTTTATGGAGTATTTTATAAAGTTCGTAAGTAAGAGTCACTGGGAGAAACTTCGGTTCGAAAGATGTTTTTTTCAAGATATTTCATTATTGCAGCATAATTGGTTCTTACATTTTTTTTATTACATTTTCGGTTGGAGGACTTGATGGCAGGTATTGAAAAATGTCTGCTGGTCTGCAGCATTTTTATGGAGCTTTGCTGGTCTGTTGGCCCCAAAAAGTTTGGGCCTACAAAAAATTGTATAAAATTCCACTGTTTCCCCTTCTTAATAATCAGTCTTTTAATTTAGCTCTTACAGTAAACATCCCTGACACAATTCAACCCAAATTCTTTTGATTGTATTTTTGCCTTCCATTACTGCACTCCACATTTTTGTGTCACAAATTTATTGTATTCTTTGAATGTGTGGTACATTATTGCATTTATTGTGATGTATTATTTTTATTATGTTTCATTGTGATTTATTTTGGACTGAGATTAAACCAGACAAAATTAGGGATATGTAATTAAGGGGCCATAAATACATCCTGGCCTCAAACTGGCTAATTGCCCTGCCTTGTTATTTCGTAACATTTTCTTGCACTACACTATGGTTCAATTCTTTATGTTGCATTGATGAATTCCTCAACAATTACAGGGGGTGAAAGAGGAAGAGCCCACATTATTTATATTCTTTCTCTGGATTTATTCTCCAGTCTCACTCAAAGTGGTCATGAAGCCACCGCCGGCGACGCTCGAGTCGCTTAAAATACACTCGGTCCTGGCGGAGCGGCGCATTGACGACGGCGCCTCCAGCGCCGACACCCACGGGTTCCTCACCGGGCCCGTCAATGGCATTAACTCGAACCCGGTCCCCGAAGGGCCGCTTGTGTTTCGGACGTCCGTTGACGATGTGGATGCCGCTGTCCTGGAGTCGGTCCCGGTCCGTGTCTCGCATCCGGTCCCGATCTCGCATCCGGTCCCTCTCGAATTCCTGCTCGCGTTCCATGTCACGCCAGTGGTTGTGACCCACGTCTCGCATCCGGGCGAAGATGGGCACTACTTCGATGAGCTCTGCGGAAATACACTAGTACTGTACAGTACTGTACTCCGGTCGAGAAATTATTTTGCATAGCAGATTTCTCGCATAACATACGAGGGTTGTACCAGTTGGACGTGTCCTCGAATATCACGGAGTAGGTGTGATTGTGAAAAAAAGAAAAATCTTGACATGATGTTTTACGGTTCTGGGATTTTTTTGGGATTGAAAAATAAAACATTTCCAGTTTACTGTACGACGATAAGTGAAAACTTCCAGTTACAGTCATAGTTCTCCGCCCATGTCACAGGCAAAAAATTTCACAGGCCAACTGAAAAATTATTAAATTTTTGCTTCAACCATTTTATTTACAAAATATGATAAAGAATGGTTAAAATAACCAAAATCGCCTTCGAAGGGTTGAACGAAACCTATTTTCATACATCCGATGGATTATGCGAAAATTCGAAGTCGAGATTACTTTAAATGCATCCTCATGCATCTTACTTTGCATAATGAAACTAGATTATGAAACTTGAAGCCTAATTTGTTTTCAAATTAATTCTTCTGTGAAACCGAACTTCAGTCCCGGGAACAATTTTGTGAATATCAATTAAACATTTTTGTTCGTCGTGAAGCGAAAACCCCCCTTAAGATTCACAGCAAACCTCTGAAAGCGGAAAAGTGCGTTTCGAACTTTTCGCGGAAGGAGGTGAGGCGTCTAGATAAAATACTGTAGAACCTCTTTTGCTCGTACTTGAGAAAATAATTTACAGGTATTCGAAATCAATTTTCTTGCCTGAAATTCAGACCTAGATATCATCGAAGCATGATTCGCCAAATAATGTAGATCTTTTTTGCGGACCAAATGTTATGCTGTACTTATTTTTGATACGTCATTAGTTTCATGCTGCTTGTCCTGATCTCAATTTTTAATGCATCCCCTTCTAAAATAGTCGAGAAGAAAAGGGGATAATTTTTAAATTATTGTAATTTGAGAATAAAAAATCACAAGTCCCCGATTATCGTCTGTGGGCTTTTAATAAGATATCCGGAAGGAGGCATCTACTGTATAAATATAATACAATTACTTTTATCATAATTCGGATGAAGATGGTTCCGTAGCACAGGGGTCCAAAAATACGCGGAATTCTGACAATGACATCTCTTGGGATTTACCACCTCAAAATCGGATCACACCTTTATTAGCTGGATCATACGATGAGAATAAGGTGTCAAATTTTTTTCTCGTGATGTTTGGGAAATGTCTTGAAGGATTTCATGAGACTGTTCAACTCCCATAATTTTTTTTTGAATTTCGGCGTAAGGCATTGAAATGCAACTAAAATCATTTAATTCAGTGTACGTCAGATGAGGATTGAATTGTTTTTGAATTCAATTTATTTTCAGCTAACAGAACAAAGAGGTACAGTAATGCGTCACCGTTTAATGATCGATTTCCTTGATTACATTTCACAATTTGCGGATTGTACCATTTTCAAGCTACGGCAGAATTTATGCATCATCTGCTTATTGGAGTGAAAAAAAACCGCGTACCGCATTTGGAAAAGTTGAATGTCACGAGTCACGACTGAATGACTTTTGCATTGATTGGAAAAGAATGTTGACATTTATGCGAGAAAAAAAGGGCTTATCGTACCACTTGCATTATTCAAAAGCCCGTCATGCGCATTTTTGACAACTTTATGGACATGCACAAATCGAGCTGTTTTTTTTTTTTTTTTTTTTTTTTTTTTACTAACCAGGTTCCGTGACCATTTGGTACTTCGGGCGCCGCGTGGGCGGCAACGCCGTGGACGTCGTGGTTCTCCCGTACCTATGCATCATCGGACGCCGCCCCGCGGACGACGGCGACGTGGAATGGTGGAAGTGATGCTTCAGCTTGTTCATCTTTTTAAAGTCCACCCGGCCGTGGTGCTCCTTGTTTCCGTGATGGCGCCGGGTGGCAACGTCGCACACTGGTGCGCAGCAGCGGCGACAGCAGCGGCACATGCGGTAAGGGTAGAGAAGCCTCAAGACCAGGTAGGCGTACTTATACCAGCTGCAGCCACAGCACCTACACCTCAATCACTGACGAGGAGCTTTGCTGGTGCCACTGCTACTCACGCCAGCAGCGTGAGTCGCGGTTTCTGGTTGTTTCGGGATTACTGCCTTACCCGACCTGATTGCGAAGTAAAACCATTTTGAATTTTTTTTTTACTTCAATTGAAAAATAAGGACTGTATAATTATCCGAGCCCTCGTATACACCTTATTAACCATATCCAACTTTTGATCCATTTAGGGAATCAGAACAATCTATTGTAGTGTAGGGGAACCTCTTAAAGGTTCCATCAAAGACCAGTGAAGGTCAATTATTCTGGTTAGCCTCATGACCTTCTGGAATGAGATGCAGTTAGCTTACTCTGAATCAAAAAGAGTACAATAAACCTATAATCCGCATTACTGGTGGCAGCGGTGGGATTCGAACCCACGCCCCCGAAGAGACTGGTGCTGTTTTGCATTTAATTTTCCCCGAAACACTTCGTGTCTAGTACGTGATGCTGGTTTGGATACAATTTAATCAGAGCAGTCTTTTTCCTGCTGTTTGCGGTGAAATTTGGATGCTTGGCATTCCAACAAGAAGCCAGGAAAATGAAGAGAAAATAATCAATTGGCAAAGATCCCTCCTTCCTCCTGACTAAATCTTGAAAGTGCAACAGAAGCAATTATCGATGAAAGTCGTTCCTCATTTCCTGAAAGAAGAAATCAAACAGAAACATCAGGCGGAATGCAATTCAAAGACTTATGCAATTTACTGTAAAGATGACCTTGCTTTCTAGAATAACACGTTAGCTTCTCCTAAATGTGTAACATCATAAAAATCCATCTGAATTTAATCTGAATAAGTGCAGCCTAAAGTGATTTAGCCCGGCTTGAAATTATATCTAGGAAAACCTAATTAAGATAATCAAGCTTTTATGCAAAAATTTAAAAATTCAAATGACACCACGCAATTGCAAATAAAAAAATTGAGATGGGTATGATGTCAAACGGTGAAATGAGAAAAGCCCGTAGATGAACGGAACCCGCCAACTTTCCTTTGTGTCAATTTAACTGTCCTTGAATATGCATTACGTGTTTTGAATCATTTTTGTGTTTGCTGTAAAAGTGTTGATTACAAAGATAGTTTGAGACATCATACATAAAGGAAAAGTGCCTCTGCCTTTCCGTTTTCTCTGTCTTGCCTGGAGTAAAGGCCTCTAAAACGCAGTCTAAACAACCATCCACCACTAAACGACTGGCGTCGCCGCCAGAGTCGCCTTTAGCCCGCCATTGTCACCGCCATCGTCGTTGTGGCGGCCACCGGAGCAGTTATTGTCGTGGCAGCGGGTGCGGGAGTGCCCTTGGGTGTCGATCCGTTGACGCTGTTGACATTCGTGAGGTTGCTAGCGAGCGACGGGTTGCTCTGCAACGATCCCGCTGACGCATTATTGCTCGCGATTTTATTGGCTGACAATTTCGAGGTGGGTTTGCTGCCGGAACCCAGGTCTCCGGACCCGCCGTCTGCCGAGCCTGAGAACACTGGGAGTTTGTTATTGCCAAGTCGACCAAACGACGACGACTACGACGACGACGACGATGACGACGACTACCACGATGATTATGACGACGATGACGACTACTGCGACAACGATTAACACGAACTAAACCGTCGACTGCACTGCACAAAATTCATCGCAGAGTGCTTCAGAGGAGAGCCTCCGGAACCTGTCGAGGAATCCATCACTGTAAAGTTTTACTGGCATCCTGAATTTTAAATTTTAAACTTTAAAATTATATTCATTTTAAAATAATTCCCCTCAGTGCGGAGAGCGTAGCTTTGATTCAATTCCGGCGAGATGTCATTGTTCATTCGAATCAGCACAAAAGCTGCCTTTTTCAGGTTCATCGTTTATGTGTGTGTCTGTCGAAGGTTCAGATCGAAACAACAACTTTTCAATTAATTGTGCTGTATTTTGCTTTTGAACGTGTTTGGCATTATCTGACAGCCAACGCTTCTTGTGCTGGATCATTCTTCTGGAATATTGTTTTCATTTTTTTGTGTTACGTGGAATGCGATCTTTTTTATTTTCGAGTTTATATAAGCATGAAGATTCACTAGAAATTGTATTTATTACTTCAAGGCAGTAGTGCGCAAGTTCAGGAGTGTTATTCGTGGAATATTTCTGGACTTGATATAAAGTTATATAGGTATTCAATTTCATTATGAAAATGTACGGCACTTATTGGACATGAAGAGCAGACGCATATAAGTGTGTTTATCCACCAGCAAATATATTCCTGAACCCAAGTTACTGGCAAGTTCTGCGATATTCTTGAAAACGTGTGAGGGCTGATTTTTCGTCTTGTTAAACTTTTTGAGATAGACGTTTTTTTAAATATAAACTATTGTGATCGAAATATAATGGATACACATTTGCAAAAAACTAAACGAAAGGAATTGAATCGGATTTTCACTTGAGCCTAAGCTCATTTTTATTGCTGGTAGTTTCAAAAAGGCAGCACAGCTATTCTAAAACCAAGTTTAAAATGTATCGGGCGACTCCGTACAGTTTAAATATTCACAAAATAAGCTACTCCAGAGTTCCTGGGTATGTTTGAAGAGGGAAAAAGGGATTTAAATCGGAGCAATGGCTTGGAGCATTCATTTTCTTCGAAAGTGACGAGACGGAAAAAACAATGCGACTGACCTGCTCCGGAGCCGAGCTCCCCAGATCCAGATCCACCGCCAGGTGGATCCCCGCTGCCGCCACCTCCGCCGCCGCCGCCGCCGCCGACGCCGCTGTCGGGAGGCAACCCAGAGGAACCCGACAGCTGCGCCGGTGGTTGCTGGGAAGAAGCAGTAGGTGGCGACGTTATCGCCGCCGCCGCCTGCGAAGCAGTGCCCGGTGCGACGCCGCCAGCACTCGCAGGAATCGTTGTGGCGACAACACCGCCGGTACCAACCGCCACCGCCGTCGTAGCAGCCGCCCCCGCCGCCGCCGCCGCACCAGGCGATACAGCTGGGTTCAGAGTAGTGACTGTGGGTGTAGCTCCGGGCAGCGGCGCCCTTCCTGACCCACTGCCTTCTCCACTGCCACTGCCGCTTCCACTGCCGCCGGCGTCGTCGAGTTTACCCTTGCCTGGGGACCCCTTGTTCGTGCTGGCGCCGCTGACTGCAGCTGCTGGCGGCGCCGCAGCTGCTGCCCCAGCCCCCGCTGCTCATTCGGAGGTCAAGAGTTGAAAATATATATCAATCTGCTTCTAATTCTTAATGTGAAAGACAGGGTGTGGTTCAAATGGAACAAGTAATGACGGTTTCGATAATCAATTTAGAGGAAAAATAATAAATTGCGAGTAAGCGGTTTGAACGAATCTTTTGAAAGACTCAGTATAAATGTTGTTACGAGAATATTTGTCGAAGAAACAACTTATTTTGAAAAATGTGCTCCATTTTCTGGGCTGTTTTTGCGTGGCTTGTAAGGAAAATTTTCAGAAAAGCAAGTATATGGGCAAGCATAAAAAGAATAATGATTCCATATGAGTTAGTTTCTAAAAGATGGCGGAAGAAGTAAAAAGCATAAAAACAGCAAGACCCTAAATTTTACCTGAGCCAATGCAATTACACTAATACAGTACGTGTTTCATTAAAATTGCGCTTTTCCGCACTTGTCCTATTGCTTTTTTTTATCATGCTCGTTTGCAGAATAATCGAATTATGAATGGCTCTAAATAATGAATCACTCGATACGGAGAACGAAAAGCATAATGAGAAATAAATCATGAAGCTCCACGGGTCTTTAAAAATGTCCATGGGCTTTTTACGTAATCTAAATTTGAGAAATCTGGATCAATTTCGCTCATTAGTCATTATACTCATTACCATGCCAAAGCGAAAATAAATATATGTACCTTAGAAATGTATCCTAACTTTTCTACCGGAATGTGTGCCACGTTCAGGGTATTTTCGTTGTTAATCGAAAAGCGGCATTCCGTATTTTTTATACCTTCTACCATAATACATGAAACATATTACAGTATTTGATAATCCAATATCAGACTGATGCTGTTGAATGTACAACACTTCGTAACATTAAATTGTCAAGATGAGGTTTAATTTTAAAGAAATAAAAGATTCAGATTCATCGGTTGCAGTTAAGTTCCCAGGCGGTTTCTTCATTTCACTAGTCGTGAATTAAATTCACATTTATTTTGAAAAGTGTACTATATACGCCAACTGCAGATTCAAATCCTAACGAATTATTGAAACTACTTCTACGTTTCAGCCTATTTGTTCCGGATATGCACATTCGTTCCAGATCACTCAAAATGATCGGATTTTCCGAGAGAAACCTCTGGCAATTACGATTTTTGATGAGATAGAGAGAGTTTAATGGTTGGAACATCAACTAAAATGATGAATTCATCGTCTTGACTCATTTTTAATGGTAATTTATACGCGTTATGTATGATCTTTTGAGATTGGAGTAAAAACATTCTCCGCAAAACAAGCTTCAAAATGCAAATTTTCCAAATTTTTCTCTGAGTGGACCCACTTGCGGGATTTCGGATTAGCGTAGCTTTGTAAACCCTGTGGTGGAATGTTTTGTGCATAAATATATTCAAATCGAACAAAAAGAATATATTATCGATAAGGCCGTGGCAAAGCGAGGGAATCTCGCCGAAGATAAAATGCAAGAATGCACAGGCTTTCTGGAAAATGAATCAGACCTGCAGGCGGAGGCGGGGATTGTCCAGGCAGCTTGACGGCGCCCGGGCCGACGGTGGCGTCCGCGGCGCTGGCGCCTCGCAAGAGAACCGACAAGCACACGAACACCAACAATCGCCCGCTGTTTGTCGGCCGCGGACAGAGACCCATTTCACTCGATGAGAAAAAAATCTCTACACTAGTCCTTCGTCATGGGCTGTGACATTGACCTACTTCTGATTTCATGCACGTCATTAAAAAATAATAAGGAAACAAAAATCCCATTATGTACTTGATGAATCAACGCTCATCAGCCAAGCGGCTGCCGGTTCTGATGCTAACCGTCAAAACCGAAAACCGAGCACATACCATGTTTCTCACCACCAATCAAAATAGTGATTTTGGTCCCAAGAGATTCATTCGAAAAGGAGATCACGATGCCAGCTATTAAGGGGCAACATGCGACATTCATTATTGAGAACTTTTTTCACAAAAATTGTCTGCTGGTGCAATTTTTTCGATGCCTAAAAGTTTTGAGAAATGTTTGAAGACAGCAGCTGCGATTCCACGAAGTCTCGCTTTATTGACGTTCAGTGGAACAAAAATAATTGGTTATTCAAATAATATCGTTTTGAATGAGCTGTTTATACATTTTTAATAGATCTCCCGGGATGTGAACAAAACCCACGGGAAGAGAATATACCAGTAAGAATTTTAAAGAAAATCAACCGGCTTTGAACAAAAACTGTGTAACAAGAAGATAAGTTTTAAAATGTATTGCTGTTTTTCTTAATAGCCTTCATGGTCTGAATAAAACGTTTCAAAGTACAGTACATTTAGTAAATCAAAAATCGGATTAAATTTCCCCAGCCTTTTTTTCAATAGCAATGCCATTTAAAAAAAATCAATACACTGCACTGTTCATATGACAGTACCAGATAATCGTACATCGAGTCTCGTGAAATATTTTCTTTTCAGGCCCAGAAAATCTGTTTTGGCTTTTATCTTGAGAGGCACATTTTTCTCTTTGATAGTTTTATTTTCGTACCTCATTTCATTCGATTATTTTCTGAAGCAGTTATGGAAATTTCCGGAGGTACAGATTGAGAATCAGATAATTACACGGTACATATTGTAATTATCTGAGTTTTGAAAATTAAATTCCATGCATAAAAAATGTTCAAAGATGACCTCATTCCAACGTATAAAAAATGAAATGAAATCTGGATGAGCGTTTACTGAAAAAAAAACTCGCAATGAAATCATGCGGCACAAGTTTAAATTACAGTTTGAGATGCAAAAATCTCTTTGTTCAAGGTCCGAATGATTGCATTTTTAGTGCATGATTAAGAAAAGATGAATAAAATCAAGCGAACGTATTCTGCTGTAAAATTTTCTGAATGCTTTTCACGCTGTTCTCGAAATTGCGAATAGGAAATTAATTAGAAGACGGGTTTCATTCACATACACGAATGCGAATAAAGGCAACAAAAAAAACGCAAGCGAAAAATGGACAAGTTGGCCGTGCAGACATGGTAATTTATAATATTTTCACGACGGATGCACTGATGATTTTATTATTGGCAATCGCCTTCAATACTGTCAGGAAAATAGGAGAGGGGGCTTTTTTTTGCAAAGGATTCACACTACACTCGCCATTAAAGGCGAACTCGGGAAGCCCAATGCGCCGATTCGGTTATGCGATAATCGGCCACCAGGCCCCACAGCGACTGAAACGGATGCGGGGGCGCCAACATGTGCTTGTTGGCACTTGGCCGCGCGGAACAGGAGCCCTTTGGTCGGTCAGCAAACGCGTCGGCGCCCCGCGCAGAATCCGGAGGAAAAGCCGGGTCAAACACGGGGCAAGGATCGGCCGGTTTTCGCAAATCTTGAACAAAGCCACGGATTTCCTCCGGGTCGCGCCAAATATTGGCGCATAGCTCGGATTTTCTCCTCCGCGACGACGGCTGCTCCGATTCCGCGGTTTCTTTCTTTTTTCCTCTTTTCCCTCGCAGAGCTTGGATGTTCTCGGGTTCTGGAGTTGAGGGTGAGAAGAAAAAATTCTTCTTGATCCGAAAATGTTCAATTTCTTTAGGAAATATTGAAAAAATCCCTTCTGACGAGGTGAAGGGTTCTTTTTTTCATTCCTGGAAGGAGTTGAGGGTTTTCTTGGGTTGGCCTGCATTTTATTTTTACGCAAGGTTATGGAACCCCTGCTGGGTGAGGAAGGGCAAAGTTTGAATTTTTCCGTATACAGTAGTGAGCTCTAAATTGGGATTTGATTGAGATAACAGCACAAGCCAAGGGGAAAAAAAAGTCAGACTTGAAGATGCCATACAGTATTTTCATTTTTGAATGCAATTTTTCTGTGGACAAAATACCAGGATTTTTCCCAACTTTGCCCTGCCCACTCTGGCCTGGTTTTTTTCTCAATAAAACTTTACATCACAAAAAATTTGTGAAAAAGTCAAATTAAGCCACAGAAGGGTCAACCCTGGACAGTGGCAGCCTCCTTTCCATCCCATGCCAAAATTGGGATATTTTCACCCACAGGCATATTTCAGTTTGATAAAAGATCACCAATATATGCCTGGGCTGAGACGACCCAAGTTGGAAAAAATCCAGATACAGTGAATCCTTTTGTTTTCAGATATATTCAATGCTAATCTTATGCTAGGATTCCTAGGAATGCAGGAAAAAATTCCATCCAGCAAGGGATGTTTTTCAAAAAACATTTTCTGTTTGCAGAGAGTAAAAGAAATATTGGACTATTGCCTGACCATAGTTGTCAATTTTTTTTCCTGTAAGTGCTATTGGACACGAAATTGTACAAAAACATGCTGAGAAGGGTTAATGACCCAGCATATTTGTGTGCATGATCAGTCTTTTTGCACAAATGCAAAAGTGGATGCGTTTTCGCAATTCATTTCATTAATTACATGCATGATCGCTTCAACAAATATAACGAGGGTCAATCGCATTATTTGAAATACATGTGGTGTCTGTCTCCAATGATACGGAGAATGCCATTTCAGAAGCATATTTAAAGAACAACAACACAATTTTTTGAAAATACCGAGGTGAACGCTTTCTTTCTGGAGAGAATGTGCCAATATTCAGCATTAATTTGAGAGGAAATCAACCGGTTTTCAGCTTCAGATGTGTGTCAAGGGGACTCTCTTTTCGATGTTGCTCAAGATGGCCAAAAAATCATGCATTATTTAGACATAAGAAACCACTGGATGAGCTGCGATTTTGAATATGTCTGCACATGCTAGAGAAAAACATTGTTGGCTGAAGGATATTGCTTTAAACGAAATCTTGGAACAATACAGTACTGGATGCCCACGTGTACCATAAAACTTGCATTTATCACAAAGATGCAGCATAGAGATAAAATTTTCTTGAGTGTAGCAAAACAAGCGCACATTCATTTGAACTTCACAATAGCGAGCAGGTAAAAAACGCGGAAACCGTTAACTTATACTCCAGAAAATGTCATCTCATCAGTACAACTCCTGAATTGATCCAGGGTACTGGGAAAATCTCGGCAAATCGTCTTCTATTTCTGACGTAAATCGCGGGAGAGCTTTTCTTCGAAGAACAATTTTGAAACCTGTGCAGTCTACGTCCAATAAGCAACATAGACTAAAATGCAATGAAACTCCGAATAATCAAGAATGCGCTTTTGTACCAAATATCGAAGACGAAGTCCTAACTGCAGTTGAGTAACACGCATTAGACAGCAGGATCTTAATTTTTTACTATTTTATATTTTTGTTAATGTGATGAAACCTGAAAATAAATTATTAGTTCAAGCTCAAAAGTAGTTTGCTGAAGCTGTCCTAGGTTGTCAGAAATCCCGATTTTTTCTAGGCATCCGATTATTACCCTCTAATGATCACACAGTTCCATGTTGTATCAACTTGATCATTTATATAGGCAAGATTAACATCCATTCATTGCGAAGTTTATCAAAGCTTCATGCACTTCAATAAAATATTAACTATACGATGTTTGCTAGAAACTATGCAGCATAAATATTTGACTCCCTGAAGTCGCGTAAAGAATCAATTTGATTTGAATCCTGCATCAAAATGTGTGAAGCTTTATCAACTGTTAACAACTAACCAAGTGTTTCCATTCTTTTACAGGACCATAAAATGTCATGCATGTCATTGAAAAGCAGCGCGAGTACTGAACTCATGAACAATGAAACCGCAGAATTGAATGCAATAAATTATGCTGCACATTCTTCGCGTGTTCTGTTTCCGTCTCCTACATGCAATATTTATGAGGGGAATTCTAAGCTTTCAGGGGAAGAATGAAAAACATTTCAAGACGACGCTGACTACTCAGGAAAAAGGCCCGAGAAAGAAAACATCTCCGTTTTCATCAGCCTATATACACAAGGAAAGCGTCCTTTGTGCGAGTCATTCTGATTCAAGGGACACTGCACTTCGAATATCCGTGAATAACGACTCTTTTTCAATAGTCTGCCAGCAGGCAGTGGAATCAAGAAAAGCGCACAGGAAACGGCTTTGCGACAATAACCGAGTACTCGTTTCGTTCCGGATATTCGAAGAGACTTCTTGCCTTCGAGTTATTGTCAAAAGTCAGAGAGATTCGATCACCGTGAAATAAGTACAGGAAGCGGATTCCATTTGCATAATCACAAAACTTCAATCGCACTCTTTCATTCTATCGGTTGGCTTGTAAGAGGAGTTGAATATTTTTCTTCGATGCCGGAAAACTTGAGCTTATAGCGAACATTTGAGTTTATTATCGTTCCGTTCAGCAGACGACTGACGTCAGAAAACTAATATTTTTTTTTTCGAAACCCAAAACTTGCCCAATAATCCGTCGATGCACAAGTTTTCGTCATCAATCGCGAATTTTATTTCATTTCTGATTAATTTAGGCAACATCTTGCATTTATCTGCTTGGCTTCCTGGAATTTTTCTGTATCAGATAATTTCAGATTGCACGAACATTCATTAATTCCTTCTTATCTCCACGTAAATTTTCGGCAGGCTAGAATTTTTAATTTCAACGAATATGTATTTTTCTTGAAGTGAGGGAGATAAAAACAAAAGAATTTATAGGGAGTAAAAAGAACAATGGAAAAATTCGGAAGTGAAGTGTACACGATAAACTGCCGGCGCCAGTTTAAAATGAACGCTGGTCCAGCTTCGTTTTAGCTCGTGTTGACGAGCATCGAATTTCAAATATAAATTATTAATTGCGGTACTTTACGCAGCATGCA